GATGACTAAGGTGAACCTGGGGGATCTCCTCTTCCTGAGAGAAGGACATGGACTGACAGGTAGCAATAGAAGTGGGATTCTGGCCACACACCATTTCAGCTGCCAAACCATGTGGGGCTTGAAATGAGAACAGGTAATGGTGGCACCTGGGAACTGCAAAGAGCAGGCAGAAGGTAAATGGCGGGCCTGCCACCGGGAGTGAGCACACTCTTGCTGGCTTGCTGAGAATGACCTCCTGCATCACAGCGTGGCAGCTCCCACTGAGGACCTCCCTCCCTCCCTAAGCCTGGCCCTGCAACGGAAGCGGAACATACACTGTGCACTTCCATGCTGACTATTTTGGATGAACGCCTTAAAGAATAAATGATGGATGGCGCAGCGGCACACGCCGGTAATCCCAGCAGCTGGGGAGGCTGAGGCAGGAGGATCTCGAGTTCAAACCCAGCCTCAGCAATTTAGCTTATAAGACCCTGTCTCTAAATAAATATACAAAGGGTTGGGGATATGGCTTAGTGGTTAAGCACCCCTGGGTTCAATCTCCTGTACCAAAATAAAATAAAATAAAATAAATGATGCCTTTCTGGTTTTCTTAAAAAGAGGATCCTGAACAGAATTTAAACTCTGGAGGGCAATTCTTCATTCACTTCTGGGCTGGTGATGTCCTTGGGTCTCATACATAAGGCTCTTTCCTGCTGCACCAAGTAGCCCCCATCTCCTAGACTTCGGAATTCATCAGCTGGATTTAACGTTTATTCTTTTATTTCTCTCTAATGTTTTTCTGTGAAACTGTATTACTATATAGTGATATAGTAATATTATATAGTCTGAACTGCTTCTAATATTCATGGTCAGGGAATGCGATGATTAGTCTTGTAAGAATTGTGCGTGAAGTAGGGGCCAGCAGACTTGGAGTGAGGAAGGCCTGGGAGCTCTCCTCTGCATGATCAATTTCGGACTGTTCAGAAGCCTTCTATGTTTTCCTGCAAGTCTTTTGATGTGGTCCAGCCTAGACAAGTTGACCTCTAGCAAGAGGGTGACAGCACACACAATCTGTGCATAGGATCTTTGCCAAGGGCAGTAAGCCAGAAGGAAATAATATCTATACTAAAATCATTTGAGTTCAAAGTGACCAAATACATATATATATACATATATCTCCTCTCTCTCTCTCTCTCTCTCTCTCTCTCTCTCTCTCTCTCGTACAGCAATGAAAGATGAAGCCAAAACACAGACTTACTCAGTTTTTCACTTTCATATTTCCACATTCCAAAAAGTTGTCTGAGCACAAATAGTCAAATAATGACATTTTTAAGTTGGAAAGAACTTTCAAAGTCCTTTAGTTTTTCTCCCTGTTTTCGTTCAGGAATCTTTTCTATTACCTCCAAAACAAATGAGTCCTGTATCAGTGTTTCTGGAAGTCTGATTTCATTAATGAAGTGAAATTCCTGACAGGAAGTAACAGGACAACACCCCGGCCACATTTGATCTGCATTTCATGGGCAAATGTTAGGTTTCTTGTAATTTATTTATTTATTTATTTTGGCACTAGGGATTTAACTCAGGGGTGCTTTACCACTGAGCCACATCCTGAGTCCTTTTTATTTTTTATTTTGAGATGGGGTCTTGCTAAATTGCTTATGACCTGGCCAAGTTGCTAAGGCTGGCCTTGAACCTGAGATCCTCTTGCTTTAGCCTCCCAGGTCACCACAGCCAGATTCTTATAGCATTTTTATGTGGAGTTATGGGATGAGAGCCCACCTGTGTGAATGGGAAGGGATCTTTCCTGTATGGGGGAACATTGCTGATGTCAGTCATCTTGGAAACAGCAGGTCCTGAGATGGAAAGTTGCAAGGCTGGGTTAGCTGGCCAGAGAGGGAATGCCAGCTTTGCAGAGCCTTCCTTTGAGGCCTCAGTGTGAGACTACTAAGTGTATCAGCTTTGAGAGACTACCAGGGTCAGGGTAGGACTGATGGACTTTGTCACAGAGGATGAAGGGAGTAAGTACTCTGAAGGAAACACAAAGAGAAGACGCGTAGCCAATCTTGAAAGAGATATGACCTGGATTCGCATTACACTTTGTGTTTATTTCTGCTTTGTTGTCCTTGAAACTTTGGAAACGTCTGGTTTAAATGTTCCAGCCTGGCCCAATGGTGTAACGGCATCTAAGAAAGAGCTGACGGTCAGTGCTTATTTCCCTAGAGCACCAGAGGGCGAATGCTGCCCTCTGAGGCTGCTGTGGATTTGGGGTGATTACTAAGAAACTCCTAAAAGAAATGTGAACTTTGAAGAACAGGAGTTGGCCTCAGAGGCCCGCCCACTCCTCTCCACGTGGTGATTTACCCATTACTGCCATCCTTTTATTAAGCAGATTGCCAGAGTTCCTATAAAAGTGATCCCTTAAATTGGCCCGAATCTGTCTCCTAGTAACTTTCACCCACAGGACTTAGCCCTTCCTCTCAAAAGCACAGAGAAAAATCATAACCACTCACATCCGTGGAGTACTTACTATAGCTGGGGACACCTTATTGAGAATTGTGCTGTGCCTCATTTATATCATTATCCCACTTTATAGACAAAGAAATTGAGACCGAGGGAGGTAAGATGACTTGCCAAGGGCAGATCCCATGAAAATGACAGGATTTAAGCTGAAACTGTCTGATGTCAGAGCCTACAGTCTTGAACTCTGAAATACTTCCTTTCTTGTCCCTGTGACATCTCCACAGAGATCTACAGCCTCCAATCTCATCCCCAGGCCCTTTTGGGGGCCAAGCTAAATCCCCACCCCACCCCCTCACCATTTTTCTTTGGGCATGGAGCAAGGCCAAGGCATCCCTGACCAGTTAGTTAGTTCCTCCTGACCAAGGTCTGGGATAACATAAGGGATGCAAAGCACAGGTCCCCTGACCTCCAGTGACTCGCCCCACTTTGACACCCAGGACAGCCTCTGCTGAAGCCTCCGGAAGCACCATTTTAGCAACCTTCCCCTCAGGAGGCTGTGCTTTTCCTGTCTGTCCTCCACATTTCTTCTGCCAGAACAACAGGCTCAGTTTTCCCTTCTGATAAATCTGGTCACCCTAAATATGGGGCTTCAAGCAAACAGGAGTGGCTGGCCCCACGCAGCCCTCATTTCGAAATGGAGATTCACAAAGGGCTCCTCTTTGCTATTTTTGAGGTCTGGTTTCTTTCTCCACACACAGTGGTTTTAAGTGAGAGGGAAGGATCTTGGCAGGGGAAAGGTGCTAGGAGAGTGAATGCACCTGGGCAGGTTTTGTTTCCCAAAATTCCCAAGACACTGATCTCTTAAGAAGCTCTGGAAAAAAGCGGGTCTTTGGTCACATGATGTCGGGAAATTCAGTGTTACCCACACACTCCTGGAGCTCAGCAGTGTGCATGTTAAACTTTGAAGTCCTGGGAATCAAGAAACCTAATGATTTTTTGTTTAACCTGGTTTTCTATTTAAAAATGCAGCATAGTAAAAATTTGGATATGGATGATGCGGAGCTGAGGTAGCAAATGGCCCTAAGGCTTGATATATTGCTCAGATAAGTTCGATTTGGCACACACAATGCTTAAATTTTGCTTTAAATTAGTTACTAGCACTTAATACTTTGAATATTCTCATATTAATCCAGACTTGGGTGTTCTTTTTTAAAAAAAATTAGAGCATCTGGAGACACTGGTCCACATTTTTGGGTGACAACCAGTGAACAGCTCGAAACAAGGGTGTAGTCTCTGAGTCACTGAAGCCCCAGGGCTTCCCTAGGCATGCAGCTGCCTCTGTCTTTGCACCCATGACTACTTGGCTGCAGTCAGCAAGCTTTTGTGTGAAGGTTTCCTTGGTGGGAGTTGGCCTGGGTGACCCCAGAAGCCTATGCATCCCTCCATTCATGCAACAGATACTGATTGTACTGTCACTGTGTGCCTGACCCTGTGGATATAAGGCATATGTATACAACAGCCCCACCCTCCTAAGAGTCTAGCTGGGAACTGCAGAATGAGGAAGGGGAAGGGTAGAGGAGAGAAAAGCTGGCAAGGTCCCAACTTGCCAAAGTACTGGCTCACGGAAGTGAACTGATCTTAGGCAGCCATTATGAACCCCAGAGAAGAAGCCACTAACTTGCTCTGATTTAGGAGAGATCCCGGTTCCCAACCCATCTCAAGGCCTCAGTTTCTTCATCTGTAGAATGACTCCATTGGCCTAGAGAGTGGTGCGCATCCCTTCTAGGGTTGGCACTTAGAGATGCTAAGACTTCGTGATGAAGGAATGTCTGACTGGGCCATTCCGGAATTGTTCCACCGAATTCCAAGCAGCCCCCCTCCCTCCTTTTCCCACTCCCGTCCAGGGGCGGGCGCTGGAACAGGCCGGCTGAGCTGGCCTGGGCTCCCTGCCCGGGGGCGGAGCTGTGGCTCCGGCGTCCCGCCTCTCCACCTGGGGCTCAGCCCGGCAGATGTTACAACTTTTTCACGTTCACTCCCGCGGTGTCCCCCCCAGGCCCGCCCACCCCGTGTCTCCCTCCCTTTCCCCGCCAGGGTCCTGCCCACCGCCCTGCAGGGAGCCGGACTGTTCTGAGGACTCCGGGAGGGGCCAAGAGGCCGCCCCGGGCTGGAGGGTCGGGGGGAGGAGGAAGGGAAAGCAGAGGCAAGAGAAATTAGGAGGCGGGAGAAAACCGGGGTAAAAAGGAAGAGGAGAGTCAGAGGATGGTGGAGAGTACTTTTTGGAAGCCGTTTCGCCGCGTCTCGGGCTGGCCGGGCTGAGCTGGGGGAGAGGGATCGAGGGCGGCGCGGGGCGGGCGATCGATCGGGCGGCGGGAGGCGGCTCTGCCCGGGCCTGACCTTCCCGGAGCGCCCCGCTGCGGCCGCGCAGGTCCGACCCCGCCGTCGGGCTGCCAGTCCGGGATAAGACACTGGGCCACCCCCCGGGGGCGCTGAGCGCTCTGTCAGCACCCAGGCCGGCGGGCGGGCCGTGCGCCCTGGGCGCGCGAGGCAGTGAGGCCCGGGAGCCCTTCGCGCAGGGACGCGCCGGCGGACTTGGCGATGCACGCCCTCACCGGCTTCTCTCTGGTCAGCCTGCTCAGCTTCGGCTACCTGTCCTGGGACTGGGCCAAGCCGAGCCTCGTGGCTGACGGGCCCGGGGAGGCGGGCGAGCAGCCCTCGGCCGCTCCACCGCAACCTCCCCATATCATCTTCATTCTCACCGACGACCAGGGTTATCACGACGTGGGTTACCATGGCTCAGATATTGAGACCCCTACACTGGACCGGCTGGCAGCCGAGGGCGTCAAGTTGGAGAATTATTACATCCAGCCTATCTGCACACCTTCTCGGAGTCAGCTTCTCACTGGCAGGTAGGCATGGCCCGGACCCTTGAGGCTGGGCATCCAAGCCCCCCAGTACACACTCAATATATTTTCCCTGTTGGAACAACCCTTTCTGGGACCCGGGAAACCCGTACTATGGGCTGGTTTTGCTTCTAGTTGGCTGTGGGATGGTTGGTAAGTCCTTGCCTTCTCTGGGCCTCAATTTCCCTCCCCTTACACTGACTAGATTTGTTAATCTTTGAGATCTCACTCTGGTGTTCTAGGACATGCACATTCACACCATGTGGAGAAGACATCTGGTCATCCCTTTGTTAGAGGAACATGGCAGCCTCTGACACTTATTTGGAATACTGCTTCTATTCACAGACTCTGAGCCTCTGTGCGGGTCACTTAACTTCTCTAAGCCTCAGTTTTCTTGTCTATGCAATGGGTCAAAGAGCAGTTTTTATCTTGAAAGGGAGCAGTGAGCATGGAATGAGTTGTATATGACCTGTTTGGATATCCATAAGTGGCAGCCTTGGTGTCACCAAAAGGATCTGGGTCCCTGCACTACCTCCCTGTAGTTAGATGACTACATTGGGAGAACACTAAGGAATTGATAGGTGGAAAAGAAAGACGCCTAGGATGCTGAGACCCACGTAGCCTGGGGCTGGTTACTTCACTTCACCAAGTCTCTGTTCTTCCATCTGCAAAATCCTCCCAAGTTCCAAGTTGGCTGGGAGCCCCAAGGAGATGTGTTGCTCTCTCCGAAAGGAGTCATCCCCAGGCAGGCAGCAGGATTACAGGATTAAAAGAGCAGGGAAACAGGAGGTGGGGGTGTGGAAGGCAAACTCTGGCCACTTAGGAGAAAATCCTCTGGCTGGGCTGAAGTTAATCCCCCTTGGAAGGGGGCCAAGGCACACTTTCTCTCAAGTTCTACCCCAGAGTCCTGTGTGTGATCTCAGGAGCCAGAGCCTTAGTCTTCTTTCTCCTGGATGGGAGAAACTGAGGCACGAAGTCAGGGACAGCTCAGCCTGGTACCTGTGCCCATGTTGGGGTCTCGTGGAATAGGGCTGCGAGAAGAGCCCTTTTTTTCTACTATTTGGCACTCAGCGGTTAGGTCCAGATACAGAGGGAGAAGAGGAGAAGGAGGACGAGAGGTGAGGTGTGCATGAGTTAAGGGGGGGGGGCATGGGAGTGCCAGACATCACTAACCCCCTGAGGAGGAAGGAGGAATCCGCTTTCCAGAAGAGTTGTGCACAGGTTAGCATTTCTCTCTGGAGAGCGGAGACTTTAGGTTTAAGCAGCATTGGAATGAGCAGCCAGCAAAGGCAGCTCTCCAGCCCCTGATCTGTGAAGTTAGCTGAGGGTGGCTGCCCAGCCTCTGCCCCCACCCTCTGCAGCTGGCTCCATGTGACAGATACTTACCGATCTTGTTAGCATTTGTTAATGCATCCAGTCACATTTGGTGAAGCTGGAGAAAGAAGCTGGAGTGAGCCAATGCTTCTCATGTTACTTATTTGCAAATGGGATTTGGTGACTCTTAGCTGGCCCACCCACATTACAAGCCAGTGCTCCATGGAGCCCCACCCAGAGGCTCCCCTGGGATTCAGATCCTAGGGTGCTTCTATCAAGTTCAGACATTTATTAGCTTGACTAAGGCCCTGAGAGGCTGTATCAGCAAAAGCTTTTGAGCATGAGGTGGATAGACTGGGCTCAGGGTTCAGCTTTACTGCTTGCCAGCTGTCTGACTGTGGGCCAGTTTCTGCATTTTGTCAAGCCTCAGTTTCATTATATGTAGAATGGGTGTAATCAGAGTCTCCCTGTAGGCTTTTAAAATGAGGATTAAATGAGATAATGTATGTGTGTAGCACATAATGTTAATATGACAGTAGTAGTTAATTATAGCTAACCAAAATAACACCTCTAAGATAAGGAAGCCAAAACAGAGAGCCCTCCTCCCCGCATTTAAGGTGTCAAATACTCAGGTCTTGACTAACTTGGATGCCTGAGGGTGAGAAAAAGGTGTGGGATTCTAACACATTTGTGAAGTTCCAGGCTTCTTATTTACTCTGGGACTTTTAAGACACCATAAACAGATCACATGGGGTCCTTGACCACAGAACGGGGAAGAAGGGCTATGAATGAATAAATGAGGAATTCAGAATTCTGCGGAACATCAACTCCTGCCGCAGGGCGTTAGCCTGCCTGAGTGACTTGGATGGAGGGACTGCATGAGCTCACAGTCATGTGGGAGTTTTGTCTCCTAAAATTTGGGAACTAGATGGGGTCTTAGAGGCTTCCCATTCTAGCTAGCCCCCTTGTAAACATGAGCAAACTGAGGTCCCCACATGAAAGGAGATGGGGGCAGCCTGAAGAGTTCCTGCTTGCACTGTGCTTGGATTTATGTTCAAGTCTGCTTTGCCCCTGACCCTGAGTGACCCTTCTCTTCCTCTGACCTTGGTTTCTTTCTGTGTTTTGAGGATTGAACCCAGCAGTGCTCTACCACTGAACCACATTCCCAGTCCCTTTTATTTTTATTTTGAGACAGGGTCTCAGTTGCGGAGGGTCTTGCTAAATTGCTGAGGCTGGCCTTGGGCTTTTGAGCCTCCTGCCTCAGCCTCTGAGTCACTGGATTTATAGGTGTGTGCCACTCCACTGCACCCAGCTGATCTTTTTTTTTTTTTTAGAGTAGTTGAATAAATTAGGTGAGGATTTGAGTCTCTTTTGGCTTAAAAACCCTCTGAGAGTCATCACTCATTCATTCATTTGTTCATTCATTGGTCCATTCCACAAGGAACCAAGAGTCCTCTCAACATGACTTGGGTGCTGGGAATACAAAGCCAAGGAAAGGACAGTTCCATTACATATCACTGGGTCTGAGAGTATGTACAACTGGGAATACTCCCAAGGGCAAATAGGACAATGAGGGTGTGTACTAAATGCTGGGGGCTCTAGAAGTAAAAGTCACTCATTCTTCAAGAAAGCAGTGGGAGATATGACAGCAGGACTAACATTTGTAGGGCTTTCAAGAGTGAGTATGAGTTTGCTCTGGAGAATGGGACTTGCTCTAGGCTCCACAGCAATTTGGTAGCTTACTGCTCAGGACCTTTGAAGTTTGGAGCCAGACTACTTAGGATACAAATCCTACTCCAATTACTAACTATGTGAATTACCAGGCGAGTGATTTAACCTGCCAAACCTCAGTTTCCTTATTTGGGAAATGGAAATAATAATAGGTACCTTCTAGTTGGTGGTGACAATTTAGTGAGATCATTCATAAAAAAAAAAGACTTACGCAGTGCCAAGACACACTGAGTGCTTGGTGTTAGCTATTATCAATGTTATTATTAATCTAGATTCTTAACTTCTCAACTTATTAATTATTAATTACTTCTCAACTTATTAATTATTATTAATCTAGATTCTTAACTTCTCAACTTCTCTTAACTTCTCAACTCCCTAGCTGTGTGATCCTGGGCTTAAACATTCTGAGCTTTGATCTCTATAAAATGATATCAACTGAAAATACCTATTTCGGTTAATGTTGTGGATCAATGAGAATGCTGAGCCCTTAGGTAGTACCTGGTGGTTATTGTTACCATCTTTTGCTGATAGTGCTGGGACCAGAGCCCCCCTCAGAGTGCTGTTGGGGGTGGGATTAGCAGGAGCGGTGGTCTGTAGCTCATCTTTGCCTTCTGTGTCCTCCCTTCCCCTGACCAGGTACCAGATCCACACAGGTCTCCAGCACTCCATCATCCGCCCTCGCCAGCCTAACTGTCTACCCCTGGACCAGGTGACACTGCCACAAAAGCTGCAGGAGGCAGGTTACTCCACTCACATGGTGGGCAAATGGCACCTGGGCTTTTACCGAAAGGAGTGCCTGCCCACCCGGCGGGGCTTTGACACCTTCCTGGGCTCGCTCACAGGCAACGTGGACTACTATACCTATGACAACTGTGATGGCCCCGGGGTGTGTGGCTTCGACCTGCACGAGGGTGAAAGCGTGGCCTGGGGACTCAGTGGCCAGTACTCCACCATGCTCTATGCCCAGCGCGCCAGCCACATCCTGGCCAGCCACAACCCCCGGCGGCCCCTCTTCCTCTACGTGGCCTTCCAGGCAGTGCACACGCCGCTGCAGTCTCCTCGCGAGTACCTGTACCGCTACCGAAGCATGGGCAACGTGGCCCGGCGGAAGTACGCAGCCATGGTGACCTGCATGGATGAGGCTGTGCGCAACATCACTTGGGCCCTCAAGCGCTATGGCTTCTACAACAACAGTGTCATCATCTTCTCCAGCGATAATGGTGGCCAGACTTTCTCAGGTGGCAGCAACTGGCCACTCCGAGGACGCAAGGGCACTTACTGGGAAGGTGGTGTGCGAGGCTTGGGCTTTGTCCACAGCCCCCTGCTCAAGCGAAAACGCCGGACCAGCCGGGCACTGGTGCATATCACCGACTGGTACCCAACTCTGGTGGGTCTGGCTGGTGGCACTGCATCGGCAGCTGATGGGCTAGATGGCTATGATGTGTGGCCAGCCATCAGCGAAGGCCGGGCTTCGCCACGCACAGAGATCCTGCACAACATTGATCCGCTCTACAACCACGCCCGGCACGGCTCCCTGGAGGGTGGGTTTGGTATTTGGAACACCGCTGTGCAGGCCGCCATCCGTGTGGGTGAGTGGAAGCTGCTGACGGGAGACCCCGGCTATGGTGACTGGATCCCTCCACAGACACTGGCTGCCTTCCCAGATAGCTGGTGGAACCTGGAGCGCATGGCCAGCGTCCGCCAGGCTGTGTGGCTCTTCAACATCAGCGCCGACCCTTACGAACGAGAGGACCTAGCTGGCCAGCGGCCTGATGTGGTCCGCACCCTGCTGGCTCGCCTGGCCGACTATAACCGCACCGCCATTCCTGTGCGCTACCCGGCTGAGAATCCCCGGGCTCATCCTGACTTTAATGGGGGTGCTTGGGGGCCCTGGGCCAGTGATGAGGAAGAAGAGGGAGAAGAGGAGGAGGAAGGCAGGTCTCGAAGCTTCTCCCGGGGTCGCCGCAAGAAAAAGTGCAAGATTTGCAAGCTTCGATCTTTCTTCCGTAAACTCAACACCAGACTGATGTCCCACCGGATCTGACGGGTGGGGGTGGCAGGGATCTTCATTGCCCTGAATAGACTTACCCCCTTCAGTCTGGCCCTACTCATTCTCAGGGAGAAGCCTGAGGTCAAGCCTATATGTGAAGGGTAGGAGGGTGCAGAACTGTTCAGCTGAACAGGTTGGGAACATGGCTGGGGTGGGGGTGGGAATAAACCAAACTGGGAGGCCTGGGTCCCAATCCTGCCTCTTCACTGACTTGCTTTGTGACCTCAGGTGACCTACATGAGCTTTTATCCTCAGTTTCCTCATCTGTAAAATGAGGTCTCGTGACTTTGTGACTGCTATGCACCTTGTACCTGGGGATATAGTGGTGCCCTTGCCCCCTTGAAGCTTATGGAAAGGCCTTCCCCTTCACTCTGGGCCTCTGTGGTGCTGCTTGGGTGACGGGCCACAGGGAGGCAACTCCAGGCCAGACCCTAGCTGGGGCATGGTGGGCTGGCTACTCTCTAAAGAGACCCGTGAGAGCTGAGGGTAAAGGTGCCAGGTAGGGGGGGCCCTCATGTGGCCTGGGCCCTCATGTGGCCTGGGCAGTCCTGGTGCCAGATGGCACTGGGAACCATGCTGGAAAGCTCTTCTTTCTGCCTCTAGGCACCCAGAGAAGTTATCTGGGCCCTAACCTACTATAGTATCAAAAGTGGCAGAAACAACTGTGAAAAGAGCCCCAGAACCAGTATTTTCTTTGACCTTGGCGTGGTCCTTTCGCTCTGGGCCTTCCTTTCCCTATCTGCACATGGAGATGCAGTCCTGGCTCTGCCTACCTCCCAGGGCTGCAGAACACTGGCCAAGCTACAGGTCACGGAGGAGCCCATGAACCTGATTAAAGTGCCCTGACACAGAGGCAAGGGATGCAGTGCAGTCTGTGAGCACATGTGTGGGTACAGGTGTGTGTGCATGTGCGTCCTGAGGGCAGGTGTGAGCTCACGGTTGAGTGAGGGAAGGGGAGAGAAGGTGGACAGCTTCGCTAGGGGGCAGAACATCTGGATTCCACTGCATGTCCTCAGGCAAACCCCTGGCCCTCTCTGGGCCTCAGTGTCTCCCTGTGCACAGTGGATCATCTGAGAGCTCTTTCTACTTGGCCACGGTGGGCGTCCGGTGTGCGCGTCTGGGGGTGCGGTGCCGGGTGTGGGGGCGGAGCGCGGGGTTGCGCAGCCTTCCTGCTGCACGGCGCTCGCTCCTCATCGCACACAGCGTTCTGCATATCTCCCTTCAGGTTCCAGTCGGCGCGGAGTGTGTAGGCGAAAGCCCTGCTGTGAATTTTGAAAATAGTTATTTTTGTCGCTGGCAAAGGAGGCCTGTTAGGACTCGTCAGCTTGTGGATGAGCGGGATGGGTGGGGTGGGGTGGGTGCGGTGCGTGGGGTGTTCGGGTGTTGGTTACAGTGCCGCATCCCCACCGCAGTGATTGAGCCCAGTAGTGGGGGTCTGGCCTGCGGCTGCAAGGTGAAAATGACCATCCTGTCCTGGCTCCTTCCTCTCAGCCCTGTTCTGTTTGCCTCTTGTCACTTCCCCACCTGAAACCTTTCCTGGCTTCCTTGATGTCGAGGCTTCTGCTAGGGCAGGGACCAGGGCTGCAGAGGCCTCCAGAGTCCAGTGACCCCAGCATTTTTGCTTGCTCAGGAGGGAAGTTCTGAAGAAGTTACCCATTAGAGTAATGTTGTGGCCTGGTGTACACCATGGGCTGGGCTTTCCACTGTCTGCCCACAATTCAGGATGCTCCAAGTCTGCCAGGTGCTTTGTGACTGCCATGCACCTTATACCTGGGGCCACAGTGTACCACTATTTCTGCGGCACGTTGCTAGACCATCCGGGGCCTCCTTGCAGCTCCAGGTTTGTGTGAATTGTATCAATGCCTCTGGTGCCTGCTAAGTTGGCCTTGTGCAAGGTGGCCCAGTCTCCAGCTGTAGCCCCTGTTTCCCTTCCTGGGACCTGTGCCTTTTGGGGCCACAAGTGCAGGACCATAAATGGTCTTTTCTGCCCTCCCCTGGGGATCAAGACCTACTACTCTCTGCTGTTAACTTGGCCCCAAACCATAGAGACAGTTGGGGATGGCAGCTGATTCCTGTTCCTCATGCCCTGACAAGGAGTCTGGGCCCATGTCTCCATCAGGTTCTCAAACCCAGTCCAGAGTTCATGTAACTCAGAGCCCCGCTCAACCCAGAAACCAGCAAATAGCCCAGGAGCCCCATTTAAGCTTTAGCCTACAATCTGGTGGTCCAGGCCTGAAAACTGGTGGAGGTTCTCTCTCAGGGGTTGTGCCATGAGAGACTCAGCCTGCTGTGGCCTCTGCTGTGCCCAGCAATCAGCATTCAGCATGTCTAGTGCCTTTCTGCTCTGGCATCCTGTAGTCCCCTGAGTTCTCTCTCAGTGTGCTGGGTCTGCACTCTGCCAGACCCCCATATGGCACTGTTGGCAGGTGCTTACAGCACCCCAGTCTCTGTCATAGGCAGGAGCTGGGGTGGGGGAGAACCAGAGTTAGTCCTGGCCTTTTCAGTCATACATCTGGGGGAACGAAGCCCAGAGATGCTTGCTAAGGTCCCCAGTTTCTCCCTTGGCTGGACCAGGTGGCAGCAGATCTGTTAGCTAGTGAGTTAGTGCCAGATGGCAGCCTGTCCAAGCTGGGTCCTGCCTGTGGAGTCCTAGGATCTGATGACCATTCCCTAGGGAGCCTGGAGAGACCCCCACACTTGCCAGGGCTTTAGCAGTGTTTCCTTCTTGTATTAGGTGCCTACTGGCTTACCCTGGGACATGGGCAATCTGGGGCCTCCTTGTAGCTCCAGGTTTGTGTGAGGGAGGGCAGAGCAGAGTGGGGGAGGGAGCAATGTCTGGTGGCCAGGAATTCCCACTTCTCATGCCTCTAACAATGATGAGAGGGCAGCCTCCCCTTTCTGGGCCTTGGTCCCCCATTGGTTAGGGACATGTGCTGTCTAGTGCAAGCCTAATCACCCAGGGCAGGGGTGCCGATATCACAAAGACTTGGGTTTGAACCCCAGCTGCATGGCCCTGGGTGGGTAAGCAGCACCACATCTGTGCAAAATGGGCATGATTGCACCTGTCCCAGGCAATGCGTGATGTCAGGGACAGATGTTACTGTGCTGAGTGCTTACCTCAGGGCCTGGCTCTGTGGTGAGAATAACTACTTTTCAGGTCCCTGGAATCAATAAATGAAGATTTTTATCTCCTTCCTTTTCCCACTGAGGAAAAACTCTGCTGCCAGCTCTCCAGGACTGGAAAACTTGGGTCCCCTCACTACAGGTCATGCTGTGCAGTCCTTGGCTCTGCAGCCACTGTCCTCTGTCCCATGGCTCCCTGCTTCACTCTTCCCTGCAAGGAAGGCTTTTATGCAGGATGCTTTGGGGGACAGTGCTGCTCTGTGACATTTGACTTCCTTCTGTGCTGGGCCTTGGCTTTGCTTGCTGCAATGAATTAGCCCGATCACCCTCCATCCAGACCCTTGATAGGATGATTTCTCTCCTGGCCCACTTTCCACTGATTCTGCCCCACACTTGCTGCCCTTAGTGGGACAGGCCCCACGGGGACCCTTGAGACATTTTCCATGGTGCCTGCTCAGGCCCTGTAGGACCCTGCAACACTTGGGCATATCATGCATGTGAGCATGTGAGTGGACTGTGGGAGGTGGGATTTGAGTTGGCTATTACAGTGTCCCTGGGGCTCCCACTGCCTGCCCGGGAACCAGCTCCCATCTCCTTTTATTCTTCCCATCAGTGTGGGGCACTGCTTGTGTTCACAGCCAATCCCTATCCTGGCTCGTCGGTGCTGTGCTCAGCAACTTCCAGGGCTCCCACCGCTGGCCACAAGCCCATGGCACACAGGCCTGCTCTTGAATGCCGCATGCATGTTGCAGATGGGGGCACACGTGCTGGCTCTCGTGCCTGCCATGGCCCCGGGGAGTGGGGAGTCTGGCAGGAACAATCCCCCTGATGCAATCATCGGCTCTTTCTCTCAGCACCACAGAGGCATGGCTGGCTCCTCGCTGCCCGCCACCACCGGGCACAGCTGCCAGCCTTTCGGGCACAGAGGAAGCAATGAATTAGCGGTCATGCCTCCTCGGCAGATTGGCAGTTGCATTCAGTGTGGGGGTGCCTGTGGGAGGCAGTGTCCACACCCCTGAGCTGGGTTCTAGAAGGTTCAGAGGGGCATGTATGCGTGTGTGTTAGAAAGGCTCGCCAAGGAAGCCTCTTCCTCCTCTCCCTCCCTTCCTTCTCTCTGTCTTGCCCAGACATTCCTCCATCACCATCAGATGCATCCTGCAGCCTGGGAACTGCCCCTCCCCCCATACTGCATACACAGGAGACAAAGTGACAGAGACCAAGACACAGAAAGGAAGGGAGACAGAAGCTAGAACAGAAGTGGAAAGGAATGGGAAAGACGGGGAGAATGGAGAAGGAAGGATGGAGAAAAAGGCAAGAAAGAGAGAAGAAAGGAGAGTGGAAAGTAGAGATGGAAGCGGGGAGTGGAGTGGGGTGCGTTGGCCCTGCACCTTGAAGGCACGTGGGCCACCCCCCGTGGTCCCTGTCAGAGACAAGGAGCTAGTTGGCCCTTCTGGGCTACCTGCAGCCCTTCACATTGTCCTCTGAATTACTGCGAGCTCTTCTAGGACCTGATGTGGGGACCTCCCCCATATGCTCTGCTGGATTCTGAGTTCTGTTTCATCAGTGGGAGGGGGAGGAGCAGCAGAGTGGTCAGCCAGCCCCAGGCCAAGCAGGACCTTTGTTCAGAACACTAGATATCCATTAATAGGCTTTCTGCACACTTACCTTTGGTTCTACTAATTTCTTTTTTTTTCAGTACTGGGGATTGAGCCCAGGGCCTTATGCATGCTAGGCAAGTGCTCTACCCCTGAGCACCCCCCCCCCCTTCTTGTTTTACTTTTGGTTTTGTTTGTTTTTACTAATTTTCAAAGCAGAGATGTCATTTGGTTGGCAACTGATGAGCTGGAGGTCCTAGAGACTTTTTCTCCTAGCCTAGCCTTCTAATCCACAGGAAGTGTTGCAGATGTGAGACCTGGGCAAGGTGATGTCCAAATCATGAGCTAAGCTGTGGGGACTCAAGAGAACAGCTCCCCAACATGCCAGGACTTGGAGATGGTTGTGTGTGCTTCTATGATTCAGCGAGAGGTGTGACGGGAAAAGACTTCTAAGTCCTTCAATCACAATAGTTCCCCACGAATTGGAAACACATATTATGTCAGCCACTGTGTTCATCTCACTGAATCTATAGAGTGGCCATGGAGATAGGAAATATCATTTACTCAATTTTTGACACGAAGAAACTGAGGCACAGAGAAGTTAAGGTACTTATTCAAAGTCGCACAGCCTATGAGTCACATAGTCACCCTAATGACTGAAAAATGTTGCCTGTCCTCTCCCCTGGGCAATGGCTGAGGTAGCCTCAGTGCTCCTGGGTGTGAAGGCATTCCACAGGCCTGGTGGAGGATGGGGGGGGGGCGGTCAGGAGGGTGGCAGCGCAGCCCTTCCCCTGCCTCCCCATACACGTGCCTCTAGCTTGGCCGTGGTGTTCTGTGCCCTGCCCGCTGCCCACCGCTGTGTGGTCCCCAGCGCAGGCCTCTCCTCTTTGCCTCTGAATTGCAACGTTGGCGGCAGAAGCGGGAAGCATATTGTGTGCAGAAACAAAACCGAGTGGTTTTTCCTTTTTCTGAAGGTGGTAATGGTGCAATTAGTGGCTAAGCCATTACCCCCCCCCCCCCTCGCTTCCCTCCTTCTCCTCTGCCTCCCTCCCTTTCTCTCCTGGGAAAGTGGCTGAATTAGAGAGCTCCCCTCCTCCTCCCTCACTCCTGACTCCTAGGAGGAAGGGCACAATGGGGGGGGGGTACCTGATGTTGCCAGGGTCCTCTGGACTTAGGCTTGCTGGTCAGGGACTGTCGGGATTGGAGAATACCAAAAAGCAGACCA